TCTTTAAACCAAATAATAGTTTAGCTTAACTAGTCAAAACAGATCTGCCTTGAACATTATACTCTGGTGAGCTACCGATAGGGGTCAAGTTGACAGCAGCACCTCAGGTTAGAACCTTAAGGGGCAGGGGGTTGGTGTTCACCGGGTGGGGCGGGGGAGGACAACCCAGGGAGGAGGGTGGGAGTGGCGGCACAAGGCGAAGAACAGGATCCCCCAGGGATACCGTGCGTGTACAAACCTGAATTTGTCTCTATTTCGCTGCAAGCATTCTCAACAACAACCAAAAGTCCCCTTTCCACCGAGGAGGTCTCCTCCCCTGCCTGCCTTTTTAGGAAGTAGAGAGTGGAGTCTGGGGGAGGGGTGGCACAGAGAGGGGCTGGCCTCCAGCTGCAGGCAGCCCTGGCCGGGCTCTCTACCTCCTTGCCCGGGGCTGGCGGCACAGCCTGCTTCCCTGCACTGCATTCCATTCTGTCACTCAGGCGCTGCCTGGCTGTCACACTCTATCTCCGTCACAGCCTCTCCCTCTTAACATGTCACAGCAGAGACTCCAAGCACCACCTTGCTCCGGGTGACAGTGACACATCCCAGGGGACCCGAGTTTCTACACGTGATTAGTCACCATTAGAAATCTCACGGCACACGGCTCCAACACCATCCGGCCGTGGTGCTGGTGCTCAATCTCGATCTCGGCCACCCAGGGGACCTACGGACAGAAGTGTCACCCAAACGGCCACTTCCTGAGGTCCTTTCGCCTCACACCAGCCCACACGGTAAGTCCTATACCGCCAGTGTGCTTACAACGATAACCAATGTTCAAAACAAGGTAACTGTGCAGACGAGGTTGGTCTGCCAGGGTTGGGTAGCCGCCCACGGTGAGACACCCGGTAAGGGACAGAATGAATGGGGCTCCCGATGCAGGTCCATGTCCACGTCTTCCTGTGTCTTTCCTCTGTGCAGCATGGCGGGTTCCGTCAGCCCACCCTTCGTGCCATGCTCTTTCAAACCCGCTCCCCCTGCCTCCGCCTTGGTCCTAGACAGGTTTCCTGGCCACCCCCAATCCGACATAGGGACCCTTCCTTCCCACCAGCAAAATCGCTTTGGAGGAAAAGAAAAATGTAAGTGTAAGATGCCATGATAACTCGAGAGAGCAAGACCTGTCCCCACCACACCGTGCTGGGTCGCCCGGGATAGCCACATACAATCGCTGGACGCTGAACCCCTGCCTCACACCATACGGACAAGCTCAACTCAAAATGAGTCCTAGACCTAAATGTAAGAGCCACGTCCACGTGCCGAGCCAGAGGAACTCAGCGGTGCCCAGCCACCACCACCAATTGCTCTGAGCGGAGTGGGAGAAAATAGGGACGAAAACTCAAAACCCTAAAAAATGACTAGGCTTACTGATCAGATCGAGACTGGCAGAATCCCTGAGACTCTGGCCTTTGGTCACCATTCAGGCCTAGAACTGAACTCCACCTCCTGGCTCAATAACAATAAACACAGCTATAAAAGGAACACTAACACGAGGGAGGTGCACAGGCCTTCGAGCAGCCAACCATTTGAGAGCCAAAGGACAGCATGCACCCAAGGACAATGTCGAGAACCTGGGTGAGGAAAGGAGAGGAATTCACGGAAATACGGGCGAAGTGGTGTTACGTAGAGGAGACGTCAGTCAAGGAGATGAAACTGTGTGTGAACTGCTGAAAATAAAGCTGATGACCTGCTCTGTAGACCTTCACCCAATTTATAAAGAGAAAAAAAGAAATGAAATGGGAGGGGGGCGGCAAAGAGCTTAAAACTCTTAGAAGAAAACATGGAAGTTGCCATGACCTTGCTTAGGCAATGGTTTCTTAAGATACCAAGAACACGGGTGACAAACACAGCAGCATAGAGATCAGCGGGTCCTCAGGCCCGTGAGATGGGAGAGAATATCCACGGGCCGTGTACCTGCGGTGGTTTCCGTTCTTGCCACTCTAGGTGAGAATTAAATGAATGGAATGATTCAAGGTGTGATCTTTTACGTAAGGCCTATTTCACTCAGCTTAACGTTACTGAGATTCGATCATCATGTTGGTGCAGGTGTTAGCCACGTATTCCTTGCTCTGGCTACGAGGAACCCCGTGGCACAATGGTTAAATGCTCCTCTGCTACTAACGGAAAGGTGAACAGTTCAAGCCCACCAGTGGCTCTGGCGGAGAAGACCCGGCGATCGGCTTTCTTTGGGACACTGTGGGAAACCTCGTGGACAAGTTCTACTCTGTCACACGAGATCATGATGAGCCAGAATGGGCTCGACAGTTTATCACCGAAGCGGGTTTTCAGTAGGGTTGCAGCTCTCTGCATTTCCAACAACACCTCATGGGGTGTCCAAACTCCCTTGAGTAAGCGGGGATTAGCAGACCCAGTAACTCATGGTGTCCCCACCTCCTCCCCCCAGGGACCTCCTCTTGAGCCAGACCACACAGAATCCGTAGTAATGTTTATGATTCATTTTAGGCATGAAATTATATATGCTAAATATAGTTGTCAATGACTTAACAGACTTAAACATGAACACTAGAAGGGTCACAAGGAGACGAGCTAGTCAGGGTGCAGTATAGCACCAAGGAAACATACAACTTTCCTCTAGTTCTTTAATGCCTCCTCTCCCTACTATCATGATCCCAATTCTACCTTACACATCCGGCTACACCAGAACATGTACACGGGTATAGGTAAGAGCTGGAAACACAGGGAATCCAGGACAGATAAACTCAACAATGAGAGTAGCTATACCAGGAGGGTGGAGGGAAGGTGGAGGGAGAAAGGGGGAACTGATCACAATGATCTACATATAACCTCCTTCCTGGGGGATAAACAACAGAAAAGTGAGTGAAGGGAGACATCAGTCAGCGTAAGACATGAAAAAAATAATAATTTATAAATTTTCAAGGGTTCGTGAAGGAGGGATGGTGGGGGAGGGAAGGGGAGAAATTGAGGAGCTGATACCAAGGGCTCAATTAGAAAGAAAATGTTTTGAAAATGATGATGGCAACAAATGTACAGATGTGCTTGACAAAACAGATGGATGGATGGATTGTGATAAGAGCTGAATAAGCCCCCAATAAATTGATTTTTTTTAAATTACATGAACACAAACAAAATTGTTCTGTAAAATCTTTCTACATTGAATTATAACACTACTGTTAATTATGTCAATGCCTTAGTGGCACTGTGGGTTAAGTGTTGAGCAGCTAACCAAAAGGTTTTCGGTTCAAACCCACCGGCTGCTCTGTGGGGCAAAGATGAGGCTGTCTGCTCCTATGAAGATTTACAATCCCAGAAACCCTGTATATAGAGAGGGTCGCTCTGAGTCAAAATGGACTCAGTGGCCATGGTTGTTGGTTTTTAAGTTGTTCCTTTCCTTAAATAACTACTTCGGCCTCGGGAAAAATGATTGGTACAGGGTGATTCAAGCCTCGCTGTAAGCGGGTGAGGACGACCGCTCAGTGGGAGCATGTACCGAGGTCCAACAGGAGATTTGCAGAGTTCTTGCCTTGCAGGTGTGCTGGTGGCCACAAACTGGACTTCGTCAATGTGTTTTTGTTGTTATAATGAAGCACAAGGATACTTTATACAAAACGACAGAATTCTTCTGAAACACTGTACAAAAAATGCTACAGACAGTCACTTTAAGGTCCCCCTCCCAGAGCTTCACAAGGTGTGGTCTGCTGCCCCCCGTGAAGCCAGTCAGTGGCCCCCAACTAGCTCCTGATGGTCCCTGCTTTCTTGGCATCTTCTAAAACTGTGCAAGGTGCTAACACCTGGAGCTTCGAAAACCCTACCACTGCCCTCTCTTAGAGATGGGCACCTCCTAGTTCCATCTCCCGTCTGTGGCACCTCTGCTTTTCTCCAAATTCCTCACGATGGGCAATGCCACCTGGACCTGGGCGGTCACTTCC